TTTTTTTTTTTTTTTTCTCTCCCATTTCCTCTTTTCCCATCACGATCCCATTTCCTCTTTTCCCACCATGGTCCCTTTCCTCTTTTCCTTGGGCAGAATCGCCTCCCACTATCCCAGGATGCTCCAAGCCCTCTCCAACCTTTCCTTAAACCTTCCAGGGATGGGGAATGCACCGTCCTCTCTGGGTGGTGCCAGGAGCACCCTCTGGTGCTGCTGCACCATCTCCTGGTGCTCATCCCCAAACCAGCCCAGTCCTTGGCCAGGACGCTCCCGGATGGATTTCCAGGGACGTTTGGCGTGGGTGAGCCACACAAACGTAGCCTGAGCCCCTTTTTCCAGCGCTCCCCTTGCAGAGTTCCATCCTTTTTTCCCGTTCCCAAGGCAATTCCAAGGCCACACGGACGGGGCCAGCTGCATAGACATCTCCCACGACGGTACGAAGCTGTGGACGGGGGGCCTGGACAACACGGTGCGATCCTGGGACCTGCGGGAAGGGCGGCAGCTGCAGCAGCACGACTTCACCTCCCAGGTACGGCACAGGGATTCATCCCCTGGAAAACACGGAGTCCCGCTGTGGGACCGGCCTTTTCCTGCTGGGAAAAGCCCTGTGAGCTCCGAGCATGGCTGTGCCACAGATCCCTGAACCCTTGGGCTGGGAGGCTCCTGGAGGATCTCTCATCCCAACCTTCCGCGGTGGGGCTGGGAATTCCCGCTGATCTCCCCATCTGCCGCTTCCCGCAGATCTTCTCTCTGGGGTACTGCCCCACGGGCGAGTGGCTGGCAGTGGGCATGGAGAGCAGCAACGTGGAGGTGCTGCACCACACCAAACCCGACAAGTACCAGCTGCACCTGCACGAGAGCTGCGTCCTCTCCCTCAAATTCGCCTACTGCGGTGAGCCGCTCCCACCCGGAGCCTGGGATCCCGGGATCCCGGGATCGTGGATGGCTTGGGCTGGGAGAGTCCTTGAGGCCCCCCGGGATCGCTCGTGGAACTATGGAATATTTGGGGTTGGAAGGAACCTTGAGCTGGGAGAGCTCCCGCTAGCCCTGGGTGTTCCCATGGGATCCATCCCATGGATGCTGCCCTTGGGGTCTATCCCCATAAATCCATCCTGGCTGTGGCTGTGGTTATTCCCATAAATCCATCCTGGCTGTGGTTTATCCCATAACCCCATCCTGGTTTAGGCGGAGTTTATCCCATAAATCCATCCTGGCTGTGGCTATTCCCATAAATCCATCCTGGCTGTGGTTTATCCCATAACCCCATTCTGGTTTAGGCAGGGTTTATCCCATAACCCCACCCTGGTTTAGGCAGGGTTTATCCCATAACTCCGCCCTGGTTGTGGCAGGGATTATCCCATAACCCCACCCTGGTTTAGGCAGGGTTTATCCCATAACCCCACCCTGGTTTAGGCAGGGATTATCCCATAACCCCACCCTGGTTTAGGCAGGGATTATCCCATAACCTCATCCTGGTTTAGGCAGGGATTATCCCACAGTCCCATCCCGGCTGTGGCTGCAAACGGCCACGAGGCCCCGCGGGATTTGGGAAGCGGCACTCGGATTGTCCCGGCAGAGCGGGGCTGGGCAGGACCCTCCAGGGAATCTCCAGCTTTTCCCATTTCTCCCAAATCTCTGGGGTCAGACGAGCCCAAGGGGCCGGGGAAGGGTCGGGGAGGTGGCGCCGGCAGCGTTCGGCTGCTGATACCAAATTCCCGGTGCAGGGAAGTGGTTTGTGAGCACCGGGAAGGACAACCTGCTCAACGCCTGGAGGACGCCCTACGGAGCCAGCATCTTCCAGGTGGGACAGCCGGCAGCGCCGGGGGCTCCTCCCATGTTCCCATTCCAGAGCATCCTGGAGAGAGGGGAGATCCTTCGGGATGGCCGGACTGGTGTCGGGGTGTGGGATGGGGTGGTGCCCCTGGCATGGATGCTGCTGGGGAGATCCTGGAATTCCAGCCTGAGGGATCCTCTCCCAACCTGATGGATCCTCTCCCATCCTGATGGATCCTCTCCCAATCTCTGTGGATCCTCTCCCAATCCAGAGGATCCTCTCCCATTTCTGTGGATCCTCTCCCAATCCAGTGGATCCTCTCCCAATCCATTGGATCCTCTCCCAATCCAATGGATCCTCTCCCAATCCATTGGATCCTCTCCCATCCTGATGGATCCTCTCCCATTTCTGTGGATCCTCTCCCAATCCATTGGGTCCTCTCCCAATCCATTGGATCCTCTCCCATCCTGACGGATCCTCTCCCCTCCCGCTTTTCCCAGTCCAAGGAATCCTCGTCCGTGCTGAGCTGCGACATCTCTGCGGATGACAAATACATCGTCACGGGCTCTGGGGACAAGAAGGCCACGGTCTACGAGGTCATCTACTGAGCCTGGGAATTCCAGCCCTCGGGAACGCTCCGGGAACGCCCAGGGGAGGCCCCGGGCCCGGCCCAGCTCCGCCCGGCACCCGCCACACCTGGATTTATTTGGAGATCTGCAGCAGCTCTGGCACACACGGAAGCCCTAAAAAGGATTTTTATTTGGTTTTAAGGTTTTTTGGGGGTTCCTTTTGATTTTTTTTTTTTGTTGTTGTTGTTGTTTTCCGGTTCTTTCCGTCTGGCTTTGGTGGCACTATAAAGGACTCCTTTTTTATTGGGACTTCTATTTTTTTTTGGTTTTTTTTTTTTGTGCATCCCGCATAAGACTTGTGAAAAATGTAAATACTGGACTAGGAAATAGCGTGGGAAGGGGGGAACCCTCCCAGTACACTTAGTTGTGTATTTTTGTCTGCTGTAATTGTATCCCACTGATGGTTTTTGGTGGTGGCAATTTTATTCTGGGGGTTTTTTTTCGGTTGGTTTTATTTTTATTTTTATTTTTTTTTGCGGGGGGGGTTCTATTTTTTATTTTTTTTTGCCCCCTTTTCCTTCCCCCTCCCTCCGGAAGCATCCACGGGGACTTTGCCATCCTGAGCAGAGATGTCCAGTGGTGAAAAGTTGTTCCTCCTGTCGTGCGTCGTGTGTTAGTGATGGTGGGGAATCGCTGGGATCCTCGGCTACTGACGGGACATCGACACAACCACCTTGGGGTTTGTTTTTTATAGATGGATTTATGGATTTATCCTCAATTTTTTTTTTTTGTTTTTGGGGGGGTTTTTTGGGGTTTTATTTTTTTCTTTTTTTGGGTTGTTTTTTTTTTCCCATGCTTGGATGTTTGAAGAAAAGGGGAAGCCCACGCAAGCCCTTCTTGGTCTTCGGACAGAAGCAAATGAGGAGTGATTTCAAAGAAAGCTTAGAAAATTCAGCTCAGGGAGCCACGAAAGATAATAGCAAACTTATGTGTTTTGTATTCAAATGAAAGTAAAGAATTAGAATTGATAACCTTGGAGAAAAAAAAAAAAAAAAAGAAAAAAAAGACAAAAAAAAGAAAAAAATTACAAGTTTTTTTTTTTAAAAAAAAAGAAACAAAAAGTTTACTAACAAGTAGGGTTTGTGTGTGGTGGGGGGGCTGCTTGTGGTCCTTGTGGGCTTTATGGTCTTGTGTCTTCTGGTTTTATGGAGCAACTCCCTCCCCCCACAGGCCTTTTGTACTAAAGGGTTCCAAAAAGGACAAAAAAAAAAAAAACAAAACCCAAAAAAAAAAGACAAAAAAACAAAACAAAACAAACAAAAAAAAAAGACCTAAGGGGAAAATAAAAGTATTTGTGTAGCAGAAGTGCTCGCCTGTATCGTAGCACACGGCAGAGGATTTTTATACCGCATTTTTAAGGAGTATTTTTGGCGAGTTGGATCTGGTCCCAAGGAGGAAATGGCAAACGTTTAGGGTTGAGTGTGGGGAGAAGGGTTTGGAGAACAGGATGGAGAGGTGGGAGCTGGAATTGCAGCCCTCCCTGGAATTCCATCCCGTCCCTCTGCAGGATCCATCCCATCCCATCCCATTGAGGGATCCATCCCAGTGAGGGATCCATCTCGTCGAGGGATCCATCCCATCCTGAAGGATCCATCCCATCCCATCCTGAGGGATCCATCCCATCCCATCCTGAGGGATCCATCCTATCCCAATGAGGGATCCATCCCTCTGCAGGATCCATCCCAAGGGCTCCATCCCAAGGGATCCATCCCTCGGGTTCCATCCCATCTTTCTGTGGGCTCCATCCCATCCCAAGAGCTCCATCCCATCCCAAGGGATCCATCCCATCCCAATGAGGGATCCATCCCTCTGCAGGATCCATCCCATCCCAAGGGATCCATCCCATTCCAAGAGCTCCATCCCATCCCAAGGGATCCATCCCCTCCCTCTGTGGGATCCATCCCATCCCAATGAGGGATCAATCCATCCCTCTGCAGGATCCATCCCATCCCGAGGGTTCCATCCCATCCCGAGGGTTCCATCCCATCCCGAGGGATCCATCCCATCCCGAGGGTTCCATCCCATCCCGAGGGTTCCATCCCATCCCGAGGGTTCCATCCCATCCCGAGGGTTCCATCCCATCCCATCCCTGCGGTCGCTCCCAGGGAAGCTCTCCTGGGCGCTCCGGCCGTTCCCATCCCGGTGCGAGGGCTCGGAGCTGGAATTGCGGGAATGTTCCCGGCGGGAGGGAGGGAGGAAGGGGCTCCGTGGGACGCCGGGATCAGTTCGGGGCGCTGCCCATCCAAGGAAGGAGAAGTTCCCTGCAGCTCTTTGTAGGGAAAGGCGTTTGGGGCGCCCTGGCTCCGATTGACCCGGCCCCGGAGCCTCCAGGGCCGGATTTTGGGATCTGGGGGGTAGCTCTGCCCCTTCCCAGCTCCTCCAGGAGCCTTCCAGGGCCCCCCCGGGCTTTGGGGTCACCCCCAGGCTCCCAGGGGGGATTTTCCTCCCCGAAATGCCAGGAGCGGAATGCAGGAATTGCAGGAATCGCAGGAATTGCAGGAATCGCGTGTTCCGGAGCCTCCCGGAGCCGGGCTCTCAACTTCACACCAAAGTATGTAGCAGAACCTGTACAGCTGTTAATAACTACCGCTGGTTTTTTTTGTAAAAAAGGGCCAAAAAGAGAAAAAAAAAAAAAAAAAAAAAAGAATAAAAAGTCAATGTACCGAAGCTCAAGCGCGAGCCAAGTGTCTCTGAAGCCTCTGATCCAGGGAATTCCATGGAAGCGGGGAGCAGGGAGCAGGGTGGGGGGCACGGGAGAGCCGCGCTGCCACTGGAGCCGGGATGGAGCCGGGATCGATGGGAGAAGATCCCAGCCCGGGGATCCTCATCCCTGGGGATCCATCCTTGGCTCCTTCCCCGGGATTTGGGAATGCTCCCAATCCCGGATCCCTGCGGCATTCCCGAGCTCCCGGCAGGAGACAGAGCCCTTCCCGGGCAGGAGCGGCTCTGACCGCGGAAAGCCTGGAATTGCCAGGAATTCTGTGCTGGGAGAGCCCGGCAGGGGAGGGGAAGGGACCCCCAGGCTCCCCTCGGGCGCCCAGGTACGATATATTAATATTTAATAATAATTATTGATATTTATTAATATTTATTAATATAATTAATATATAATATAGGCATTTTATATAATTTTGTCAGCACACAAAGGCACGGCAGGAAGCGAAAGAGCCCGGCAGGGAAAATCCCAACCCTGCGGAGCCCCGGATCCCTGGGAGCGTCCCTGGGCCCGGCTGTCCTTCCATCATCCCTCCCCGCAATTCCTGCTTTTCCCTGGATTCCTTCTTTCCCTGAATCCCGCTTTCCCCGGATTCCTTCTTTCCCTGAATTCCCGCTTTTCCCTGGATTCCTTGTTTTCCTGAATCCCGCTTTTCTCTGGATTTCTGGCTCTGGAAACCTGGTCCCTGGCACCCCGGGCTTGGATACACCCTAAATCCCCTCCTCTGTCCCCAGCACTGGGATCAGCGCCTGATTCCTGCCTGGAAAAGCCCATCCAGGATTTGGGAATGCTGGGATGATCGGGATGGGTTTGGGGGCACCTCTTGGCCCCGCTCTCACCCCCCGCAGGATCTACGGGAATAATGACCTTATTATTATTATTATTATTATCATCATTATCATCATCATCATCATTATCATCATTATTATTTTAATTTTTATTTTATTTTTATTTTATTTTTATTTTATTTTATATTTTATTTTTATTTTATTTTATATTTTATTTTATTTTATTTTATTTTATTTTTAAACAAGATGAGTTGGTGAACAGCCAGCGTCCTCCGGGGGAATTCCTGGGGAGTGTTGATCCCAGCTGGAATTTACCTCGGAAGCGGGAAAAAAAAAAAAAAAATTAAAAAAAAATAGGAAAAAAAATAAAAAGAGAGAAAAAGAAAGAAAGAAAACAACCAAAAAAGCGAGGGTTTGGAAGGCTGAAATGCTGCTTTTCATAACAGCGTGAGATGGAGCTCAGCCTTTTCCTGACAGCTCCCAGATGGAGCCAAGGCTTTTCCACAACACTTCCCTCCGGAGCCAGCTCCAGCCCCAAACAAAAACCGGGATCACACAGGCTCCTTGTTATCCTGGAGAGATCCAGGGAGCAGCGGAGGGGCTGGAATTCCCAGGGCTGGATCCCTGCAATCCCTGCAATCCCTGCAATCCCTGCAATCCCTGCATCCCTCCATCCCTGCAATCCCTGCAATCCCTGCAATCCCTGCAATCCCTGCAATCCCTGCTATCCCTGCATCCCTGCATCCCTGCAATCCCTGCAATCCCTGCAATCCCTGCAATCCCTGCATCCCTGCAATCCCTGCATCCCTGCAATCCCTGCAATCCCTGCAATCCCTGCAATCCCTGCATCCCTGCAATCCCTGCAATCCCTGCAATCCCTGCAATCCCTGCAATCCCTGCAATCCCTGCATCCCTCCATCCCTGCAATCCCTGCAATCCCTGCAATCCCTGCAATCCCTCCATCCCTGCAATCCCTGCAATCCCTGCAATCCCTGCAGCCACCTCCCACCCTTCTTCCTTTAGTCCAGCTCCCTCCTAAACATCTAATTATTTCTGTATCTGCATGTGCTGCAGATAAATACAGCCTGGCTTCTCTGTTCTCAGCAGAGCTCACACCTGTG